TACTGGATTTGTTTAAAATAAATACAATATATTATAATTAAAAGTCTCAATGAATAATTATTTTAAATATATGAATTATATTTCAAATCTTGGATAAACAGTGACAAAATTACTTTATTTTTATCTTTTAAAATTGAAGAGAAGACAGAACAAAAAGTATAGTATGATAGGATGAAATTAATTAAAAATAGCAATGTTAAAATTCAAAAACCTAAACTTCCCCCAAATTCAACACACAGTATCATACCACAATGTTACTTCGGTTCAACAGAACAACCTCCGCCACCTCTCTTTTACACCCCTCCGTCAAATCACTTTACTATTCGCACCCCTTCTCCACCTCTCCACCACCCGCTTCTGACGCCGCCGATCGCACCCGCCTCTTGAACTCTATTCGCGCCGTCGAAACCACCGCCACCGCCGCCGCTGCAGTTAACTTCTTCTACAGAATGCTAGCCCTAACTCCTTTTCCCTGCATCCAAGACTTCAACCTCTTCTTCGGCCTCGTCGCGAAATCATACCACTACGCCACCGCCATTTCCCTCATCAAAACCCTCCACTCGCTAAGCGAATGTGCTGACGTGTGCACACTCAACATTTTCATCAATTGCCTCTGCCACCTGGGCCACACGACGTCGGGGTTCGCCGTTTTGGGGCTCATGACCAAAACCGGCGTGGAACCCACGCTGGTGACTTTTAATACCATTGTCAACGGTCTTTGTATTGAAGGGGATATGGATCGTGCCCTTTGGTTGGTGGAAAAAATGGAAACTTTAGGGTATACGTGCAATGTTCGAACTTACGGGGAGTTGATTAATGGTCTGTGTAAAATTGGGGATACTTTTGGTGCTATGGAGTGTTTGAGGAAGATGGTTGAGAGAAATTTGGAGCCGAATGTTGTGGTTTATAATGCGATTTTGGATGGGCTTTGTAAGAGAGGTTTGGTGAATGAGGCTTTTGCGTTGTTCCGTGAGATGGGTGTTACTGTTGAGCCTAATGTTGTGAGTTACAATTGCTTGATTCAGGGTTTGTGTGGTGGGTTTGAAGGGTGGAGGGAGGGGGTGGTTTTGTTCAATGAGATGGTGGTGGAGAAGGGGATTGCACCGGATGTGCAAACGTTTTCGATTTTGGTGGATGGTTTTTGCAAAGAGGGGTTGGTTTCATGGGCAGAGAATGTGATTGGTTTTATGATTAGGACTGGTGTGGAGCCAAATGTTGTTACGTATAACTCGTTGATTAGAGGGCATTGTTTGAGGAATTGGATGGAGGAGGCGATGAGGGTGTTTAGATTGATGGTTAGCGAGGGTGAGAGGTGTTTGCCGAGTGTTGTGACGTATAATCTGTTGATTCATGGGTGGTGTAGTGTTAAGGAGGTTGATAAGGCTATGTCTCTGATGGGTGAAATGGTTGGAAAAGGGTTGCATCCCGATGTGTTCACTTGGACCATTCTTATAGGTGGGTATTGTGAAGTGAGAAAGCCTTTGGCTGCGAAGAAGTTGTTTTTCAATATGAAAAAGCATGGCCAGGTTCCCAGTCTCCTCACCTGTGCTGTTGTGTTGGATGGTTTGTTCAAATGCTGGTTTGATTCTGAGGCGGTGTCGTTGTTCACAGCAATGGAGAAGAGTGGTCGGGATCTTGATATTGTGATTTACAATATCATGCTTGATGGAATGTGCAAAGCAGGAAAACTGGATGATGCAAGGAAGCTTCTTTCTAGTGTGCTAGATAAAGGGTTGAAAATTGATACATATACTTATAACATAATGATTAAAGGTCTGTGTAAAGAAGGACTGCTGGATGATGCTGAAGAGATGCTTAATAAAATGGAAGAGAATGGGTGCCCGCCTAATAAAAACTCTTACAATGTCTTTGTGCAGGGACTGTTGCGAAAATATGATATTTCTAGGTCTAGAAAATATCTTCAAATAATGAAAGACAAAGGATTTAGAGTAGACGCTGGCACTACTGAATTTATTGTACGTTTTTTATCTGCTAATAAAGGAGATACTGCATTTCAAGAGATGTTGCTGACCTGAACTTTGTGGGAATATAGTCTCTATTGATTATCTGAGCTGGGTTTGTATCAAGTTTTGTGATCAATCTGGTCATAATGTTAGACCACCAAACAGGCCTCTTAATGATGGGATTCAACCCTTTCACCATGGTGGGTTCAAGTTGATCATGAACAGATGATAGAAAGTAAAGAATTTCTTCCAAGGAATTCAAACCTGGATTATGACAATTCTGATATGCACACATGTTTTTGCCAAGATATTAACTCAATTCGATGCCAACATGATGTTGCAAGATTCTGGTGGACATAACTGTATGTTTGGTGTCCATAGAGAGATTCAGATAGTACATACACTCGAATGGATACTTCAAAGCAGTTTAAGTTCTCATTTTTCCAAAAGATTGTGCTCAGAAGTTTGGGTAAAATATGTTTCTTCATTGCGTATAAAAGGTTCAGCATGTCTTCTATTTTGAAGGCATAATAACTTCATTTATTTCTTACAGAAAAGTAAGCTTTTGTGTTGTTGATAAAGCAGGAATGTCTGTTGCTTGAAGCTGTAAACTTGATGACTGTAAACAACAGAGTTCAATGTTAATATACTTATACCAACATCCTTCATCTTTTCATTCATAAAAACTATAAAAAAAATTTGTCATTCATATCTTACTAATTATACACAACTTAAAAAGAAAAAGTTATAATGACATGCTATATAATATATCCCTATAATCCATAATAAAAATTTGGTAACAATGAAATTAATTGCAAATTATATAATCTAATTTATAAACCATATTTTGTTTTATTAGAAATCTATTTTGAGCGTACTTGTGATCATTTACTTAGACATAAATCTCGATTTTCTGAATGTAATAGTAAAAAATTATGGATAAAATATATATTTATTCCTCCTAAATTTTAATCCTTGATATATTTTATCCATTTTCAATCATTTTAATCCTTGATATATTTATTCTTTAAGCATGTCCAAAGTGCTAATCTAAACCACTTTTTAAGATCAAAAGAGATATTTTAAATTTAAAGTAACTAAAAAATAAAATAAAAAATCAAAATTTAAAACTTTTAAATTTTTAAATTTTTTTAATTTTTAATTTTTAAAAATAAAAAAAATTATTATAATTTATTGAATGAAGTCTAAATTGAGGTAATTTGTTCAAGAAAATTTACTGCAACTTATTCTAACTTGTATAAAACAAAATTTCGAGAGGGCTTTGCATTTCTACAGGACCTTCAGTTTGGTTCAGTTTTTTCTTAAGTTGCTTTAAAATTCAAGATAAAAATCAGAACTTTAAAAAAATATAAAAAATGTTTTTTTGCCTAATTTTTATTTTATATCTTAAAATTTTGTTTGAAAATAAGGGTTTGTTAGATAAAATCATATTTTCCCTTTTTTTTAATTTAGACTTATTTATAATTTAATGTCTAAATTTGTGGATTTATTTACTATAAGAAAATGTGAAATCCAGCTAGATGACACTATTTAAAAATAACATAAAACAAAATTGAACTTATTTACCATACAAAATTTCATTAAAAATAAATTAAGGAATATAAAATTAAAATGATTAATCAAGTTGGATCAAATAGGTTCAATTTTTTCCTGTCCACATTATTCGGTTCAATCAAACCCATTAATATATTTTTGGTTTAATTTCTTTTGGAATATATTTTAGGTGTCAACTTGAATTTCATTATATATTATTCAAAATAGTTAGTAGAATTTATATTTTAGCCTGTAAACTATACAGTATAAATATTTATATATATATATATATATAGAGATATATATATATATATATATATCTTTTTTATATAAGTTATATTTTAAATTTATAAGAAAATTATTTAAATTGGAATATAGAGTTATTTTTAAATTGAAATGGATAAGAAATAAAGAAAATAAAATGATGCATAAAAGATAAAAGGATGGTAATTTGATATGAAAGAAAGAAAATTTTCTAGTTATAGTAATGTAAAATCTACCTCCCAAAGGCGAGAAAAGAGAATAAGAATCTCTAATTGAAAAACTGAGAACTTCATTTTCTATGTTAACTATTCTAATTTATAGTATATAGAAGATGACTTAAGGATTCGTTTGTGAATGAAAATATTTAAAAAACCGTTATCATTTTTATTTATTTAGGTGATTTTTTCCACATTAAATATCTTATTTAAACTTTTTAAATCCTCAAAAACATTATTTGTTATATCTTTTGAATCGAATTTAAAGTTTGAATATTATAGCACAGTATCAAATTCAAAAGACTTAGTTTTTTTTTAATAATATTATTGAAATCTATTTGCTCTTTTAATTTTGATGTTTGAGATGCCATTATAATAAATAAAAATAGAGACGGAGTATCTTTAACTCAAATAATTTCTTTTATAATTTTCTCTTCACAAAATTTATTTCTTTGACTTATTCTTAAATGATAAAATATAATATCTATTACTAAAAGGAAAGGTATGCATTTATTTCTTAAGAGACATGCTTTCTCTATGTTTACAATATTTTGTTATAAGTTTCTAAAATTTTAGTACCAAATTTATATTTTAGTTTTTTTAATTCAATATTTTAGCAAATATTAATTGGTAATTGTAGTATATTTATTAAATCTGTTAGTACCGTTTAACATGTATCTATTTAAGTACATGGTAACAATAAAACTTTTTAAACAAAGATTAACATTATTCTTAATAAAAAAAAGGATATATCTAATAAATATTAATCAAGGTATTCAAGGAAATAATAATAGTGTAGTTCCTTAATTATGAAAGATGATATTTAGTTCCTCAAGCAAAGTTGCTATCATCCTTATTTTGATGTCATTTTTCCTAATTAGAGGATTAAATTATATCAAATTTAATCATTGTCTTCTACATTAGAGGACTATAGATTTTACCTAATAAAATGTTTATTGTTTGCACAAGGATAATCACATACAAAATTATACATCTATTATTATACAGTGAAAGTAACTGAACAAACAAAAAATAACACCAAACTCAAACATCACCCACAAAAGATGACAGTAATAATTTCCTCCCTCTCTTTTATGTTGAATTACCTAAAACATTTGTACCTACAGAAAACAATCAAAATATGAAAACAATATTATACATGTCTGAAAATAACCTATTCTATATTAGTACTCTTCTAACACTTTTTCCCCATGTTTCTCACAGCAACATTTACTCACATATTACAGTTCTTTATGTAGTATGCAGAAGCTATAGCACCATTTACTTTTCCTTCACAACATGGTGTAAAACAGGGAAAATGATTGGACAGTATTATTCAGTTTACCAAAACCATTGAAGAACTCATTCAACCTTGTTGATTCGGCAAAGCTCATACCTTTGAAGACATGCTTGTTTGAAAAGTAGATGAAAATGGATTCAGGAACACACTACTAGGCCTACCATATTCACTTTTTATATCAGCAACAGCATCAACAGTTCCAAGCTTTTGCTGTGCTGGAAGAACCTGTGATTCATTGGGAACTTCATCTTCAAACACCACCCACACCATGCTTATTTTAGTCTCTAGTGTCCATGAAAAAAGAGTTGGGGTTGGTGACAGGTTTACATCAATTTTCTCTTCGTTCCTTTTGTTTTCTTCTGCTGCCACTTCCAACTCTATCATCTCTTTTGATTTTGTCAAGTGGCCTGAAATTGGAGGTGGCCTTGAGATGCTAGATAGAGAGACATGTGAAGTTGCAAGTTCATTTTGTTGACTACCAAGTTGTTCCAGTGCCACTATATGACTCATACTGATGATTTGAACAGAAGGGTAATCCAAGTTCTTGTTTTCAACCACATATTTGCAACTTTCATACAGATCATGAAGCTTTTGGCTCTGGAGAGAAGCTGTCTTGAGTATTTCACAGGCTAGGCCTCTGGCTGATTCTGTTAGATCAAAGAACATGTTCACAAGAGCTGCAATGCCTTCAGAAAATGTCATATAAACTTGGAAACTTTCTCTCAAGGTGTTGCTCATGGCAGCTTGAGCCAGGCTATGATCTGAGCACAAAATATCGTGTGGTGAGCATTCCAACACCTTATCAATAAGCACTTGGCATTTAGGCAATGTTCTGAATGCCATATCAAAGGATTTCTCATCATAGCGCCTAAACTCTAACCCTTTGGACATGACAGGCTCAAGTTTCCCTGCTTGGTTGATGAGCCAACTCATCCTCTCTTCAAGATAAGCAGCATATTTGTGTAGAAAACCAGCTGAAGGGTGATCAGAACTCTTTGTGAAACATCTTGTACTAATCTGTAGGTGACCTGAGACATGTGCCTTGCATAATTCTTGTTCAAAGGACCTGTTTCCCCCTCTAAGAAGGCGATGAATCAAGACAAGAGTCTTGAGGGCCACAACATGATCCTTAGTTTTTCCTAAGCGACGTGAAATCCTTTCAGCCAGAAAAGGAATGGAGCCTGGAGAGTTTGACACAAGAAAGAGGATTTCATGCATATATCTGTCACCAATGGTGCCATTATCATGGCCAGTGGCACGCAGCACTGCAATCTCTATGTTGGAAAAGCCATCATGTTGGTAATGATACATCATGGCCTTGCCAATAGAGGCATGATCTTTCACTGAGCCAAGAGCTAAACGAAGCTTACCTTGTATGTCCACACCCATTATTCTTCTTTTTAAGAAAAGGAGAAGAAGTTCTGTAATGTTGATAGAAGATTATGGCACAATTTGATGTGTAGAGGTAAGCAGTTGCAGGAATACACGCATATAAAGGTGGGTGGGGAGAAGAGTGAGAAAAAGTATGACCTTAAAAAATTTTAAGCAGTACAAATTGCAGAATCAAATCTTTCATATTTTAAACACAGAATTGTAATATGGACAAGAACATTCATCATATAAAATAGTTTTTACTTTTTAGATTGTTGTGTGTGATAGGTTAGAAGTCTACAAACCCAACAAGGCAACAACACAGCAATATCGTATATATTAGAAGGGCAATAATCCACGTGCAAAGTCAACGAGTATAACCAAAAAGGAAGAGCTTTCTTTCTTTGGTTCTCTTGAAGTGACAGAAATGCAAGCAAGATTATTGATAACGCCAAATTTTTCTCCCTAATTCTTCTTTTTTCTTTAACCATGACCATATTATATATTGGTGTGAATTGAAGAGATTGATGTAAAATGGTAGCTTGGTTAAAATTATGCAGCATCTATCTGAAACAATCTCTTTAGAGGAATGCATGCTCATAAATAACTAATAGTTTGCTTGGATTACCATATATATACATTCTCAATTTTTCATGTCAAATCAAATGAAAATGTAAAACTTACATAAAATAATTCTTTATTTGACTTAGAACAAATACTTCTATATGTGAAACCAAGCACACACTTAATGTTCAAACCTGATACAATACTAAGGTTGCTTCTTGTGACCTATATAGGAGGTCATAGGTTGTAGGAACAAGGCTACTAACATCTACCCTCGTGAGATTGTTACATGTGTTAGATGTTAAAACTTTTGCTTTAGGTCTCCAACATAAAAAGACCTAAAAAATTTGTTTTTTAATACTAATTGATCTAGGCCTAAAACTAAACTCAAAAAGCTCGAAAACTAAATTTTAAAAAAATTATTTTAAGTTTGTTATAGGCCTTTCAAATCCTTGAGCAGTCTCTAAATGTTATGCACATGACTGCTTTATAGGAGATGCTATGTATGCTATGCTATGTCATACATGCAAAAGTCATGACACATGCTGCATTCTTGGGTTTGCTTTGCCCTTATTCCTAGTTGTATCTAGTTTTTAACCTTTTAAAAGACAATTTATCTTCCCTTAGCTATAGGCTTTTGTTCTATCTAACCAAATTCTTTTTGCTTAAAAGCTGGCAGCAATTATTTATAGATAAGCACGAAGCAAATAATTAGCCACAGGAAAAAGCTTAGATGAGAGTTAATCAAAGGATAGATTGTGATCAAGGCTTTTCATTTGTTAAAGATCCAATTGATTGTTAGGTTTGCTTGCTGCCATCAGTATCATAATAATAACCAAAATGGAATAATAAAGTTTGGCTTTGAAGAAGGGTTTCAAGTTTTGGAGTGCATATAAGACTTTAATGTCATTTTAGAAGAAGAGTCAACGAGGGAAAAAGTGGAAGATGGTGGAAGGTGAAAAAGAACCTTATTCTTTTGAGAATATGATTCTGCCAGCATCTAACTCTCTTGCCATTCGCAACATACAAAATAATTTTGACTTTGAGAAATCTTTCTTCTCATCCACAGGTTCTCCAAATAATCATACAACTTTTCATTTTGCTTTTGGTAGGGAAGTTGAAGTCCCACCCACTGGCATACAGATCCAAAGGAGAAAAGTGTTGTTGCAATATTCTATTCTACCAATAATAATCCTATATGTTTGTGCCTCAATGTACTGTAGCTTGGTCAGATCAGAATTTCAGCCGCAAGTAAAATCAAACACAACAAACCAAACCAAAAACAAAACACCACATCCAAGTCAAAAGGGATAAATTTATGACTTGCTGTTGATGATTGATCAGAGAAACAAACAGACTCATGGTCACACACAGCACCTTGAGAATGCTATTTTGCAAACAGAATACTTCCAAAGAAAAGGTAGTATAATAGTTTTTTTACACTACACATAAAAGATAACAGAAAGTCAAATTACATGAACCAAACCAGGGTTGTAAAACCTGACCTTGGTCAGATTGATTGTCAGTTCTTTACTTCACTATTTCAACAGTTGAACTGATGTGTTGACAGAAAAAGTCATATTAAGAAAAAAAAAGAGCAAAACCTCACTTTTAACTCAAACTTTCAACAAATTAAGCTTTTGAGTCTTTTTTTTCTTATATGATATTTAATTTTGTCAATCTTTACCTATCTAGAACTTAAATTCACTTATTTCCAACAAATTTAAACATTTTTTTTCTGAGTACATTGAATTTTGGATTCTTTTTTTCATACAAAAACAAAAGATCAGAGACAAAGAAAAGAAAAAAGAAGGGTATGTAAAATAAGTGAAAAATCAGGTACAGATGTCATTTTTTCTGAAAAATTTATCAGAACGTGATCAAAATATGTTTTCAATAAAACCATGAATTCAATTTTGCTATAATCCATCTTAATAAAGTTTTTCAACTGGAATATAACACCTTACTCGAAAAACAGAATTCAATTTCATATAAACCAACTTGTTATTAAAGTATTTTTTATGATAGTCTGTTATAAATCTATTGAATAAATGTGTTCAATCTTAAATAAACTACCAATGTTCATGCACGCTTCTATTTTATTCAGTGACCCTCCTTCTGCAGCAAGAAATCGTCCAATCAGCTACAATGTATATGCTGTTGGCGGCTAGGAATATCCATGTTATGGAGGATTCCTCAATTTCCAACTTGATGGTGTAAAAGAAGCATTAAGATTATTGTGTTGTGAGGCATCATTTTCAGGGTTGGCAAATTTCTAATGGACTAAGCCAATAGTGCACATAAACTATGCATTATAAATAAAGAAATGTTATCCTTCACAGTGACTCAGACCCCTCATCCTGTTCAGTGTGGCTAGTACGAGAATGGGAAACTGTTCATTTACTGATATATTCTCATTGACAAAGCAAAGTCAAGAAACAGCAAGATAAGCCAGAATCTCCACAACAGAAAAATGGAGAAAAGAGAATTTCAACCAATTAGGACTTACTATTATTTGGTGTTCATCCAAAAACAAGTGGTCAGTTATCAGCCACTGCTTGTGGACTTTGTTAGTAACATGATGGGAATTTGACTCTGAGAAAGGTGAAAAGTAAGAACAGTGAAAGCATATGTTTGGTTTCTGGTTTGGAGTTTTGAATTCAGCAGGTCCTCATTCTGAAAAATGAAAGCTATTTAAAAAAATTTTAAGTTAAATGTGATAAGAAATATATGTTTCACTTGAGCATAAGCCAAACAAAATATGCAAAAAGAATTATGCATGAGATGCATATCTGCATCTAAAACCATGGTTTGGGGGAACCAGATTTTGGCTTCCTAGAAATATCAAATCTTTCTCACACTCTCATTTCAGTATTTATCAAACAGTTGGACCTGGTTAAAGATTAAATATATTTTTTTAAAAACTGTAACAAGAAGAAATTATGTTAAGAATATACTAGTGACAATTTTGGTTTTTTTGTAAAATATACTTTTTTGTCTCAAAATATATTGTATATTTTTAATCCATCTAATTTTAAAACATACAACTTTAGTCTAAAATCAATATCTAATAATGCTTGTAAAGTATTACTTAAACTACTTTAAAACTAAATGTCATGTGTTTCAAAATTAGAACAAAAACAAACACAAATATTAAAGACTGAAAACAAACTTAAATTTTTTAAAAGAAATTAAAAACATTTTTACTCAATTTTTTAATTCCTTATTAAGTAATTCTTAAGAACACTTCTTAATCTTATCCAAAGAAAAAAGGTTTCAAAAGCATTTTTAACCAAAATAATGTAATTTATAAAACATAGAGAATCAATAAAACACTCAATGATCTATGATAAAAAGTAATATATATATATATATATATATATATATATATATATATATAAAATAAATAAAAATTATATTTTATTATAAAAATTATTTATATTTGCTTACATAATTATAATTTCATTTTTTTTACATAGACTTTTACTAGTTATTATATAAAGGAAATCCAGTTATTCATTTTACTCTTTAATAACTAAATTCTTTTTAAACTAA